ACTATCCAACTATGGTTATAGATTTGTCAATTTCTCTTTTTAGATCTCTCAAATTTTGCTTCATATGTTTTGAATATAGGTTTTTAAGTTCCTAACAGTTAGGATTGTTCTATCTTGTTTTATTCATCCTTTTAATTTTATGAAATGTCTCTCTTTAAGTGTTAAAAATTAGAATAGTTTTAATATCTACTTTGCCTGATAATAATGTAGCTGTAACTTCTCTTTTTTATGGTATGCATTTGGCTCCTATTACTTACAACCTTTTCCTTTTTTTAAATATGTTATTTTCAAGTAATTTCAACATTAAAAAAAATAGATACCTTTTACTCAAATTCACCAATTTTTGGCATTTTGCCAGATTCGCTTTATTTCTTTCTTCCTCCTTCTTCCCTTCCTCCCTCCCTCCCTCTGTCTCTCTCTCTCTCTATGTATACGTGTGTGTGTGTGTGTGTGTGTGTGTGTATGTGTATGTACTGTAAGCCCTGATGGTTTAGGTTAATTAGTTAAGATGTTGTTTGTTCTCTCTGTATAGTTATCATTATTTTTTGTTTTGTAATAAGTAATGTTTGTGTTTGTGTTGAAACACTTTGAGACTATGTGTTTATTCTGTTAGTTATCAGATGTCCTCTTCCTCCCTCCCCCTTATGGTATCCCTTAATGATTCTTGCCTGAATCAGTTTTTTTCTCTAATTACTAACTTATGATTTTTTTTTTCTGCTTTTTCTCCCCAAATCCCCCTAGTACATAGCTGTGTAGTTTTTAGTTGTGGGTCCTTCTAGTTGTGGCATGTGGGACACTGCTTCAGCATGGCCTGATGAGCCGTGCCATGTCTGTGCCCAGGATCCAAACCAGCGAAACCCTGGTCCGCCACAGTGGAGTGCACGAACTTAACCACTCGGCCACAGGGTTGGCCCCTAACTTATGATTTTTAACTAATTTATAATTTTTTAATTCCTTGTATATATATCACTTAGCAGTTTATTTTAAGGAGTTCCTCCCCATCTGCTTGCTTGCTTTCTATCTATATCTGTCTTTCATTTACCTATCACTAGATCAGACTCATGAATTCTTACTTCATTCAATTGATTCATTCCTTAACTGTCTATGTTTGTTCTGATGCTCAGATTGTCCCAGGTGTAGCTCACACTTGAGCTGCTTCAAACTGGCTCCTTTACCTTGTTGATGCCCTCCTATCACTTTTGGGGGAGATTTCCTTACGTAACCATGATATCGTTAATTTCTCCAAAGAACCCAGTTCCTTCTAGTGCTGAGTGCTATCTTGAAAATAAGATCTGGGCATGTGACCTTAAATTTAAAAGTGTCATTTTGAATTAATAAATAGTTGGGTATTGATTTTTTATGTAATCTGCCTTATTGGAGTGTTTATTCCACTACATTAATGTATTTAGTGATGTGGTTTCATTTAAGCCTTCAGTCTTACTATTGATTTTTTTTTTTAATGTTTATTTTCTTTCCTTTTTTTTTTTTTGGAGGAAGATTAGCCCTGAGCTAACATCTGCTGCCAATTTTCCTCTTTTTGCTGGGGAAGACTGGCTGCGCCACCAGGCCAGCCCTTTACTGTTGTTTTTCTACTTATTCCATGTTCTCCTTCCTTCTTAATTAAGTTTTTTTAGTATTATGATTTATTTTTACTATTAGCTTGCTTGAGTATAACTTGTTTTATTTATTGTTTCTGTGGTTGCTCTGGGAATTACAATGTACATCATTAACTTATCACAGTTTACCTTGAATAATATTATATCACTTTACATATAATTTAAGAATCTTACAACAGTATAATATAATTTATCTTCTCACTCCTTTTTTTTATATTGTTGGCATATATATATACCTGTTTTTAAACCCTAAAATATGCTGTTTGTGCTTTGAACATTTGAAAATATTTTAAAATTCAAGAAAAAAAGTAGTTCTTTATATTTACCATATATTTGCCATTTTCAGGCCTTCTCATTTTTTCCTGCAGATCTAGGTTACGCCCTTTGGTATCATTTTCCTTTAGCATGAAGAATTTCTTTTAGCATTTCTTTTAGTGTATATCTGCTGATGTTAGATTTTCTTAACATCTGTTTGTCTAAAAATATTTTTTCACCTTTGTTTTCAAAATATATTTTTCAAGATATGGAATTCTAGGTTGACAGTCCTCGCTTTCCTCGCGCTTTAAAGATGCCATCCCACTGTCTGCTTCATTGTTTCTGGGGAGAAATAAGCCATCGTTCTTATTGTTGTTCCTCTGAATATATTGTCTTTTTTCTCTGCTTGCTTTTAAGATTTTCTCTTAATTTTTGGACTTCACAGTTTGGCTTGTGATGTTCCTAGGTGTTGTTTTGTTTGTAGTAATTCCCTTTGGGGTGTGCTGAACTTCTCAGATCTGTCTGTTGAGACCTTTTATCAGATTTGGAGATGATTTTGCCAATATGTCCTTAAATATGTCTCCTTTCTCATTTTTTCTTCTTCTTCTGTGACTACTCCTACCTGCTTGATAGATCGTTCAGATTTCATCCTTACTTCAGTGAACTGATTGTGAGTCTCAGTTAATCAGTTGCAAATTACTTCTCAGTTCAAATGCTATTGCAGAGGTCTCTTTGTCCTTAAGGCTGACTCTGAAATTCCAAAACTTCCATCCAGGGCTTATCTCTGATCTTAACAGGATTGGAGCTGGGCTGGGTTTCACCTGTGGTTAGCTTTTGTTCTTTGGATTGAACTTCAGTAGATTGCTGGAATCTAAACCCCTTGTGAAATTTGCGGGATCTCTTTATGATTTTTAGCACTGCCTCAAACATTTCTTATGGAGCAAAATTCTTATAGGGGAGAATTGTTGGGTCAGTATATTTATTTTTGTGGGAGCTCTTCCAGATCCTTGTCTGTCATAGCATCCTACACTGTTAAAGGTTTGGCTGATTTCTCTTCTTGCCAGCAAAGCCTCTCAACCTATGACTCTTTCACTCTCTTGTCCCTCTGTACCCAGATTAGACAGTAGTCTCAGATATGAAAGTAGATGCTACTCTTTGTTCACCTTTCAAGGGCTTGTCCCAGTGTGCAATTTAGTTCAGTTATATATCTTTTGTGTTCATTGCACTTAATTAACATTAAAGGAAAATATAGCTTTATCTTAGACCTAGCTGTCTTGTTGTTTTGAAGGTAGTGATGGTCTTTCTTGATCTTCTATATCGTATCCAAAAGTGGAACTTCTGCTAGTTCTTCTTAAAGCATAAGAGAGATATGTAATAAGTATAGAATGCCGTGAGTGTGATTACAGTCAGAGGCACCAGATTATTTCAGGGACCTGTGTTAATCACTTTTATAGCAACCTGTACTTATTTATAGCCCATATTACAATTGATATGATATAATTATGAATTTAATATATGAAGGCAGGAACCATGACTATATTGTTCCCTGCTCTGATCTCCGTATTTCACCAACACAGTGCCTCTCACCTTATTTATTTGTGGAATGAAATATTTTAATTCAATAATAATTTTGGAAAGAGTGGCAGTGGGCCAGAGGATTTTAGTCAATTAAATATATCCTTACATGGGCCTTGTAAAAATATTCTGATGCATCATTTTTTCCTAACTGATTATAGCTTTGCATTCTGTGGTTTTATTTCTAATATTTTTCTCTTTTCCACGTAGTATGATAATATAGCTTGCCTATGCATATAGAATTGTAAGATTTTTAATCTGACTGTACTAAGCCTCTGATTTTCTTCTGTAGGAAAAGAAATCAGTGAGATAAAATTTGTGGCCATTGTACACAGCAATAAGTTATTAACAAAGAGCTCACAAATTTTTATTTACAGTTATTTCTTGATGTTTATAAACAAGTGTCATTGCAATAGTAACCTTATCAGTGAAGAAATGTTTTTCTCAAAAGGATATCTTTTCTAGAAAGCCATCTTGGGTAATGCTTTCAGGGGTTTATGAAGGATGTTATAGGCCTAGAATTCATTCTGTTGGTTGCAAGACTGTTGTATTCTTTTTTAAACTTTGCCTATAGAGATAGCTATTGAAGAATTTTCTTCATGCTAGTTTCCTTTACTGAATAGAAAATGTCATTACTGATCACTTTGGGATGGTATGGATTATAAAACATTTAGGCAGAATTAAACTACTGGCTTGAAACATTTATTTTGGAATGAGAGTAAATAGATATTGTATGAAAGATGATGCTATAAGAGCAGAGATTTCTTTTTTTGTTTTGCTGAGAGAGATTCACCCTGAGCTAACATCTGTTGCCAATCTTTCTCGTTTTGCTTAGGGAAGATCTTCCCTGAGCTAACGTCAGTGCCAATTTCCCTCTATTTTGTTATGTGGGTCACAGCCACAGCATGGCTACCAATGAGCAATATAGGTCTGTGTTTGTGAACCAAACCCGGGCCACTGAAGCAGAGTGCACCAAACTTAACCACTAAGCCACAAGGCTGGACCCCCAGAGATATCTTTTTTTGGGGACCTTTATCAGCTAATTTTGCAGGAAGTTTGCAGAGAAACTAGGTTGGAAAATTATAAATATTAACAGTCTGTGAAGGAACTTGGTAGTATGGGAGAAATAACGGTTTCAGGATGAGGAATCATGCTGGGGAACTCTTAATCTAGCCTGAGAGACAGTACAGTATAGTATAGTGTTTAAATGCTCTAGGCTTTAGAGCTAGACTGCCTGTGTTAAAATCCTTTTTTTGCTGTGTTATCACTGTTTGACTTTGAGCAAGTAACTTAACTTCTCTGTGCCTTCATTTCCTCATCTGTAAAGTAGAGATAATAATAAAACTACTTCATATGGTTATTGTGGAAGTTAAATGAATTTTAATACATTAAAGTACTTAGAATAATTTCTGGCATACAATAAAGGTTGTTTTCTGCTGCCATTATTATTGTTGTTGTTGGTAATATTATTATTACAAGTACCACTGGCACCTTGTTCTTTTGCAAAATACTTCTGCTACCTGGTATGATTGATTCTTGACACATCTCTTTCAGCTCAACTGAAGTCGATGACATGATTCGTAAATCTACAAACCTGTTGCTAACCAGAACTCTGAGCAACTCTCTGCAGAATGTCATTAAAAGGAAGAATATTGGACTTACTGAGGTAAAACTGCTCTTGATGGAGGCAGCCAAGGCAATATGTGAACAGATGTCCTAACCTCTGGGACTTGTTCGTGAATTAATCATAACTTTCTATGTAATCCGTCATGTTCCTCCTGATGGACTCCTAATGGTGAAAATGCAAAATAAATCCCTTGTTTTTTGATTTGGTCACCTTGGAGAAATCCATTATATTTTTTGAAAGTCAATTTTTTTCTCTTTCTCATTGTTTTCACTAGCTTAACTGGTTTTACTTTCTGAAGTTGTTGGGATAAATTTGTATTATTTGCCATCAATTATATATAAAAAAATTGTTGGTTGGAGAATATAGTCAACATGAGGTTCCTATCCAAATGAATGGCAGTTCAAATACAACATACAATATGAAATCACATTTTGCCTGCATAAATCATTGATGCCAAGAATATTGGCACTCATAGTCCTTGGTAAGTGTTAGACTCAGCTTTTGTTTTTGAGATACGTCATCTATATGGATGGTAAATTACTCTTTTATCAGCTTGTAAGTCTGGGCATCTGAGATTGAGGAAATATGAGAGAAAGGCAATGACCACGTTTTACATGGAAGCTTATGCAATCTCACAAAGGGAGGAGAGCTATTGTACATATGTTGAGAACAGTATCTTGGCAAGCTGAAGATTCAGTGCATTGGCACATAGTCCTAAAACTTAGAAAGATGTGAAACCCAGCATTGCAAGGGAGCCTCAATCTGGCATTTTATGGAAATTACAGTGCCCAAAGTGAGAACCTGGAGGAGCTTTTTTCATAGGGAAAGGGAAAGGCTGTTGCTGTTTGTTTTCCCTGCAGAGGTGGTGTACTTTGAAAGTCAATTGCTCTAGGAAAAATTGATATTTTCAAATATACACTGTCAAGGATTATACTGAAAGTCAGCAAATGGTGAATGATACTGACCCATAGGCAAAGACAGCTGGAAGCCAGGTGAACATCTACTTTTGATTTGGGAGTGATTGTTTCTTTTCCCATGTTACGATTTTAAAATATTACAATTTGGGACATTGACAGTGATTGAGTTCTACTTATAACAGACCTTTTTTGTTTTTACAACTGAAAGTCACATTTTGCATTATTTAGTAGAGTCCCCTCATTTTATGGAGCTTCCTTTTTATTGCCTGGTGTAGACGTGTTAGGTGTTGCCTTTATGTGTCTGAGAATAGGCCAACTTCTTTTCCTAATCAGGAAGGCTACCAAAAAAGGAAAATTGGAGTGAAAACTAGGAAGTCATCCTGCTTTTGTTAGATTGTACTGTTTTCCTTTTCTGAAACCCAAGACAAGAAATTTATTATATATTTTGTGAACTATCTCTACATTATAACTCTTAATATAATTTTTTATGTGCTATTCGATTTAGCAGTCTCTTAAAAAGCCATTTTAGACAAGTAGCATAGTAGGAACATGGTGTGATAGAAACAGCTTTGGCCTCAGAAGACTCTTGGTTTAGTTGTGGCTGTGCCATTGATTTACTGGGACATCTTAAGAGAAAGACCCAACTCCTTAGTTCTTCAGTTTTCCTCACTCCATTGTTCTTTTCAAGGGCACCATACAGATCAGGTAATGAGAGGAAGAAGCACTAGAATTTATCAAAGAAGAACGGTATCATAATTCTTAGCAACGTTTCAATGAATGCTAAATGTTATTCCTATGTCATTGGATCTTTTTAGGCGAATGTACTTTCATTATCAATATCATTGCATGTGAATGAAGGAACGTTCACACACATTTATTTATTTTGGCTGTTATGGTGGTGTGTGAATGTATAGACACATACACACCCAGGAACTTTTTCATCACCAACCAGTAATCTTTGAATAATTGCATTACTCACGTTTGGAAAGAGAAGATATTATGTCCTCCTTTACAGGTAACAAAAGTGAGTTCACATCTGGAATCATCATCATAATAGGCAACATTTGTGGAACAGTTTATAGTCAAAGTCCATTCACAAGTAGCATCTCATTTAGTAGAATAACATTTGAAGCAGTTTGGATATGTGTTATTATTCCCATTTTATAGAAGGCATGATTCAGAGAGATTGACCAAGGTCATACAACTAGCAAAATGATAGAAATGAGACCTAAGTCCGGGTTGTTTTTCCCCAAACGTACTCACTTTTACTGTAATATACTGCCTTTTATATTGTTTTAATTATTTCATCATAACAAAGATAGAGATTTTATACGAGGTCCATAGTAACATGGAAATTGTTCTAGTTAGAGATGCTTTTATGACAGGGAGCCGATATTCACTCAAACAATAGAAGTATTTATTATAAGTACACATAACTCATGGAACCCTATTTTAGGTTGTCAGACATTTCTTTTAGGATTATAAGCTAATATCTGTCTGTCTGCCTATCTTGTTTTGAGGTTACGTGGTGTCTTGTCTCTTCTTTTTTCTGTCTGTACGCTCTATCCTTTTATCTTTTTCTCTCTATACACTAGCTTTCTTGCTTTTTTCATGGCTTCCTTGCTTCCCCATGTTGAGCCAACTCAACATTACCTTTCAGTTCTTACACGTACTGTGACTTGAATGTCTTGCTCTCTCAGACTCTAAGTGGCTATTCCTAGTTCAATTGGCAGGTGCAGCTGTTTTCCTAGGGCTGTTGCTTCCAGGTCTGTGGGAAGAAGGGCAGTTGAGCAGTGCTTAAGAATGTATGTTCTAAAGCAGACTGCTGGGTTCCAGTTCTAGCTCTACTCTTAATCAATGTGTTCTTGGGCAAATTACTTGGCTCTATGTGTAAAATGGGGACAATAATAGCCTGTATTTCATAGGGTTGTTGTGAGGATTAAATGAATATGTAAAGTGCTTAGAATGGTGCCTGGTACATAGTAAATACTCAATGCGCATTACCTGTTGTTATCTAAGAAAGAGGTCTGGGCAGGTAAGCAATGATGTCAGGTCTAGTACAGAGGTGAGGTTTTTCAACCGGAAGTCAGAAGATAAGAACAAGATGTCTTGTTAAGGTAAATAATTTTATTAACTTTACAGTGTTTATTGAGTGCCTACTATGTGACAGGAACTGATCTAAGCTCTAAGGATAAATAAGTGAACAACAAAAGAGCAACAACAAAAGAGATCCTTGCTTACATCCTAGTGGCAGAAAACAATACGGAAATAGTGACAAAAATCATATAATAAACAAAATAAGTAAGTAAATCATTTAGTATGATAAAAGGTGATGAATACTGTGGAGAGAAGAGAAAGAACTTGGGTTAAGGAAATTAGAAGTCTGGTGGAGGTTCAAGGTTGGTCTTATTAAAAAGATCTTGACAGTGAGTTTTCATTGAAGGGGAAAGAGCATTCTTAGTAGAGGTTAGAACTAGAGCAAAGGTCTCAGAGTAGTTAAGTTATTGGCAAGTTCAGGGAATAATAAGGAAGCCATGGTACCTGGAATGAAGTGAACAAGGGGAAGAGAAGCAAGAAATTAGATTGGAGAGGTCCCAGGAGTTTGTAGTAGGCCACACTGTAAAGTGTCTGCCTTTTATCTTCGGTGAAATGGGGAGCCATTGCAGGATTTTGGTTAGTGACATGCTGTGACATATTTCAAAAGGATCACACTGACTGTGGTATTGAGAATAAACTGTAGGGGGTAAACTGGGAGACCAGTAGGAGGCTATGACAATAATTCAGTGAGGTTTGATGGAAGCTTGGGTGGGAGCCCTGGACGTGGTGGTGAGTGATCAGATTTGGAGTGAGGAGCCAGCATGCTTTCCTGATGATTGGGTGTAAAGGAAGCGAGAAAGTGAGGAGTTGAAGATAACTCTTAAGATTGTTTGATTTGAGCAACTACAGGGGTCTTTATACCACAAACTGTGATGGCAAAAATTTCAGGTAGAGCTAAATTTGGGGTAGGGGGAATATTGGGAATTTGGTTTTGGACATTGTAAATATGTAGTGTTTGTTATACATATAGATTGAGATATTGAGTAAGCTGTTGTCCATATGAGTTTGGAGTTTGAGAAAGAGGTTTGGCCTGGAGATAAAAATTTGGAAGTATGTAAATAATATTTATAACCACCTGAAAGGGTAATATTACTAAGTAATTTGTAAAGATAGAGCAGAGAAGAGGAACTCACAAAAGAGATTGGGAAGGAGCCTCTAGGGAAGTAGGAAAACAAAACAAAACAGATGGGAGAAATGAGAGAGTATGGTTCACCTGGAAGCCAAGTGAAGAAAGTATATCAAGGAGAGAGTGGTCAACTATGATAAGTACTGCTGATGGATGAGGTGAGATGGAGATTAAGAATTACCATTGGATTTGGCAACTTAGAGTAAGTGGGTGACCTCGATAAGAGCATTTTTCATAGAATGATAGTAGGAAACTCATGCTGGGGTAGGTTTAAAAGAGAATGGGTCCTGTACAGAAGAATTTCAAGTAATTTATGTAGATACTACCCCCTCAAAGAGGCGGAGCTTAGCTTCCCACCCCTTGCGTGTAGTCTGTGCTTATGACTTGCTTCCTGACAGTAGATTATGGAAGGAGGGAAAAGTTACTTTATAGTGAAGAAACCTGACAAACACTGCCTCAGTCAGGTGATCAAGGTTAACACCGTGAGTGATTAGTTACGTTGGCAACATGTATCCTTGATATGATGTGATGAGAAGGCACTTCACCTCTGTGGTCTTCCTTCCAAAGCCCGTGACCCCAGTCTGAGCATGAGAAAAACATTAAACAAACCCAAAATGAAGGAAATTCTACAAAATACTTGACCAGTACTTCTCAAAACTGTCAGGCTCATCAAAAACAAGGAAAGTCTGAGAAACTGTCACAGACCAGAGGAGTCTAAGGAGACATGAGAACTAAATGGAATGTGGTATCTTAGATGAGACCCTGAAAAAGGTAACGAACATTAGGGAACAACTAGTGAAATCTGAATAAAATGTGTTGTTCAGTTAATAGTAATGTCCCAATGTTTGTTCCTTAGTTGTGGCAAATGTAGTAATGTAAGATGTTAGCGGGGGAACTGG